CATATATTTTCTCTTCCTAATTTCTGGGCATCATGTGCATCATACTCGATCCCATTGCTCCACTAGACAATGACTGGAGTCAACTTGTTAAACATTCTAACATGGAAACTCGCTAAAGTTCCATATATTTAATTGCCGTGATACTGCGGGTCTAAACAACATGTAGCCATGGCACTGTAATTTTCGCCTCTGTCGAAGTCTTCTCAAGCCTTTTCAAAATGTCAAAATGCTCCCGTTCTATTTGTTGACAAGTGCGCTTTCAATGGAAAGAACTATAAGGTTGGTTTGGTTTTGAAAATAGCTCATTCCGTTGCCTTTCTCGAATCAACTATGGACAGTTTGGAAAAACGCTTAAATAAATTGAATTTTGATGGCAAATACCTCGATCTCTGCACCTGCTACGTAGCAGTAAGTAAATTTGAGGCCTCTTCGCTTGGATGACGATGACTGCAAGCAGTTGGCAGTTGCCCACATTATCCGAAATCGCCATCACTTGTGTTGCCCATTTCATCATTGATGCTGAGGGATGGGGTATTGGTATCACTGCTGGTCGCATTATGCCGATAACCTGAAGGAAGCTAATCCACCTGACACCCTCTCAATCTCTGTTATGAAGCCAGAGTTACTGTGCAGGCTGCGCTATTTGCCCACATTTAGCCGTCTAAAATGGGTAGACCCATTCTTTGTCCTGGTGGTTGCCTTGATATCTATTGATTTGCTTCATCGTTCTTCGTGGAGTCAGTTTTATCTCTCTTTTTGCCGGAAAAGCAGGCACTTGCTGTTTCTTCGACTTTGGAACTGCGCGACACTCTAAATTGAATTGATTAGAATGATTGTCAAGTGTCTCGAAGTTGACAGTGTCGTCTGACGAGTAGGACAACCAAAAAGTGGTTATTCTCGCAGGCGGTATGTCAAACCCAGGGTGGCAGTGGGTAAATAGTATGGATCATGGAGGTTACATTTGCTATAATTCCATGCCATGATTGACGAGTTTTATGATTCAAAGAATAATGAGTCGAATACTGGATCACATTAAGTGTGGACTAGGCAAATCCGCTTCCTCCTATACTATCTTCTCCTCAATTTGTCCCCTCAAGATTAAGGTGAACACTATGACCCTAGTGCTTACTGCATGATTTATCTCTCGTACCTCATTATATGGAGACCTCCAGGAACAGATAAGAATACGTACTTCCCTCATTAATCCTCTTCCACTGTTCTCACTGTGTGTCTGTATCCCACTCTCCCCCTATTAAAGTATGTGTTTGTCCCAATTCACCTGTGTGTTATTTCCAATTTCTGTTTCACCTATATATAAAAAATCGGTCTAACGGTAGAGGGAGATGATTCTTTACGAACACCAAACACACGGTTCCGTCAAACACGGCTATGCAATGACGGTTGACCTACGAGGCAGTAAACATCCTAAGAAAGCAATAGAGCAACAAGCATGTGGCAGAAGCAGACCGAATGACAATCATCTCCCTAGTAGATAGGTTTCTTACTAGTATTGTCCATCTTAGCCATGACTTCACGAGCACTGTAGTTAAGTCCAGACTTTAACCAATAGTACCGACTTTAACAGACAATGTTAATTTACTATAATGCAGGCTTATGCTCTTAAAGGAGTATCATAGCATGTATACACCGTGAGATCACAACCAACATGGCTGACGCATCTAGTGTTCGTATCCTCTTTATTCTATCCAATCCCGTTCTTTTCTCTGTCAAGGCTTTGTCCAACGCAACAAATCATGCTGTTGTCATGGTCGACAGTGATTACCACCTCGGAAAGATATGTGGAAGAGTTTAAAGGACTGCACTTCAAGACTATAATTAATCCGCCTAAGCATTAAAAGCCATTTAAGTGTTAAAGGAAGGCTACACACCACTTATCCATTGCTCTGCACAAGTGGTCAATGCATTTTCTTCACAAATTTAGTAATACATACAGTATAAGAAAGCCGGAAATTCGGCACAGAGACAGATGAATGTATATTTGGATGGACAGATGGCAAGGAGTGCTTATGCTTCTAGCAACGCAAGATAGACCTTTACATAAATAAGTGGGAAAGGCACCTTCCTCCTCAGCTTCATTAATCGTCCCTGGAAATATTGCTAGATCTAGAGTTTCGTCATAGTAAGTATGAACTCGATTAAGTGATTTCACAATACCATTCATTAATTGTTTACTAGTTGTTAATAACAGGTTAAGATTCCACTTGTATACCATGGTTTTCAGGTTTGGGCCACATGGTACTCGTTGGTTTATCACTAACTTTCTGGTGATCTGAGTAAATGTAGCCACATTAGCTTGATAAAAGGATGAAATCAAAAAAAGCAGAACTGATAACATTTAAAAAGAAAATATTTATCGCACTTTAGCCTTCACGCTGATAGATTAGGGATTCATCAATTCATTTGTCAGTATTGAAGACGTATTCTAAGAGTTCATCGCGTAGGTTTTTTGGACAAGTAGCATGAGAATATTGTTTTGGGATCCCTAGGCTCACTTCCCGCGTGCAACTTGAATTGAAATATTCAAGTATGAAAGGCTAAAAAAGGATTTTATGAAATGAAATAAAATAACCTATCGTTAAGATTTGAAGCCCACCCAAACCTAACCTCTAATGACGTAGCAGACAACGGGTAGCGAAAATTCAAAGCGCAACAATGAAAGGACGTGACCGTCAAACTAAGCTAGCGAAACATTTTACAGCCAAATAGTTACGAAGACGGGGTTTTAACTATTGCAGGCCTCTGCGCAACACTTACAGTAAACGAATTGCAAACCTACTACATGTGGACCTTTGACAGGCCAGCCTCAGTAACGAGGTTAACAAAAAGAATAACTCAGCGATCAGGACCTGTCTCCCAACAAAACCCTACCAAAAAATTCGATGCGACACTCTAGTTAGCAGCTGGAAAAACACAGCCTAATGCGTTCGCTACTATAGCCTATCCGTTAGAAAAATTCATAGCAACAATCTATTCAGTGCTTTGTTCCTTACTAATCCCATTAGCTAAGGTTAATTGTGCAGACCGGTTCAATTCCTGCTCAAAGACCAAAAAAATTGGCCTCTTTCAACTTTATTGTTCTAAATATATACAACCTTCAGCAAATAGTTATAATGAGGGGCGCAAGAGCAAGTTTGTAGCAGTTCTGCTACAATCAGAAAGAGGGTCAGGATTAGAAGCACGTAACACAGACATATGTAGGACTTTAACCCATTGCTTAGTTGAATCATAGAAAGTGTAAGAGTAAGAACTAAACGAGTGTATTCAATGTTCTATTAGTCGGCCACGTCTGTGTGTTCTATCATAAGAATGACCGAATTCAAAAGCTGAATACTGTTGACTGAGAACACGACCTTCGCAATGAGGCCAACTCCCTCCAGATACGACATGTTCGTATTCAATTTGTTCTGCTACCGAAGGGCATGTAACATCCAGTAGGTGTCTACCAGGAAAGAGACGCTTCCTTCAAATTCCAATGAAGGCTAAATTACCTGCAGAAATTCATTGCAACCCGGCGGAGTAAGTGCAAGCCAAATGGAATTAGCAGAGAGCAATAAAAAATGGGCCATTAAAGAACACACGTCAATTTTTCAAAGACAGGTAACAAGTCCAAGTCCATCTCACTACAATTTTTAGAAAATGACCTCAGCACAGACATTACTGACGAAAAGG